TGGTTTTATGATTTGCCTTCCATTCACTATTCTGCATTATCTTAAAATCCAGAGTGATCACAGCGACCAAGCTTGCCTGTCAAAAAAATGGGCAAACATCATCATTTTTTTTTTAATTTTCAAGATAACAGCTAAAACTTGAAATTTTCTAAAAATGGACATTTCCAGAGAAAAACTTCAAAATTGGTTGTCTAATTTTTCTGACAATGTCAGGTAGATAGATCTTGACATACAGAATTTGAACAAGTCAGTTTTGCTCTAAATGCTTTACGTTTTAAGATATAAGCTATAAAAAAAACTCAGTTTTACCCCCATGTTGTATTTTTTGCCATGGTGACCATGTTTTTCATTTAATAGAAATGATAATTGCTTATAGAAGTTAATGCCATTAATTATTACTGCCAAGTTTAAAAACATTTGGTTTCAGAGTGGAAGATTTTGTCAAAGATAATGATGAAATACACATCCTAATGAAAGACTCCAAGTAATGTTATTGATTGTATCACCTCACATGGTCCTCAGGGCCAGGTGAGGTGAAAAGTAAAAATAATAACTTCAAATAAACATTACAAAACTCTACTTTACATTTAACCTTAAACTAAAGTAATCTAAAGATTTCAAGGAGCCTGTGTGTGAGATGTTAATAAAAATTGTTTAACTAGAATAAAAGAATGACTAGAGGCCTAGTAGTTGAACAAAAGATGTTGAAAATTTGACTTTCCAAAGAGATTTAATGGGAACCAGTACCAACAATGCTGCAACGTTTGCCACACAATCAACTTTAAAATAAGGGTTGTTTCTTTAGTCTCCCAAGCATCCATCCTGTAAATTTTAAATGTTTTGCCTTGCATTAAATAATATTTGAAAATTGGCCAATCTGAAGGAAAACAAATGCCTCTGGTGGCCATGTTTTTAATTCAACCAGGACCAATCCTGCTAAGTTTGGATAAAACTGGCCATGTTTGAATTAGATTGGTGGTTTAAGAAATTAAAAAAAATACATAAATTTTCTAAAAAAAAAGTGATGACTTACACAGGCAATCAAACTTTTCCCCAAAATCATTTGGAGTTTACTTGTCCATTTAAACTTATAAAATATACTGTCCCATTGAATAAATACGATAGCTATTGTCATTTGGGAGTTCATTCAATGGGACATATAAATTTCTCCCTGAAAAAACAATCATTCATTGATTAATCTGTACAAAAAAATAACTCAGAGTGATGAAAAAATATGTACCAATACTGAATAATGACACATATTGTTAAAGCAAGACATCATAATTACCAAATTATGTCAATAATAGACTATTGAAGAACATATTGTAATTTCATTTGGACAGTACAAAAAAATTACGTGAAGAAGCTGAAGATTTCATTTAAGGTCATTAACCATGTCAAAAATCAAGGGGGAGGAATGGCTTTGTATTTTCACCCAAAATTTGGTAGCAATCCTGTGCTATATTTTTCTAAATTTTTATTTAAAGGGATAGGACCAATTTACCTAAGAATTTTGAATAACTCATAGGGTAAAAATGTGGAATTTGAATAAATATATATATTTAGAAGATTTATAAATAATTGTTCACATTTCCATAAAATCAAAATGGTATTAAGGGCTATATAATTCCTAAAGGGAAAGGGAAAATTTTTGTTTTGTCAAAATTTGGTAGCATCTGAATTTTTATTGGTTATTTTTATTCATTGAATTTTTTGTCCAAGTTACGATTTGTGGTAACAGTGAAAGACATGGTGATTGTGGCCATCAGATATACATGCATGTTTTAATTAAGGTAGATACAGTTCAAAGGGACATTACTTTCAACACGATAATAATGAATGTTCAATGTTCTGTTTTTGCCATTTTTTTATGATGATGTCCAGGGTGATATTCATTTGAAATTAAACAAAAACTCTTTATTAGAGAAGGTAAAAATGGCATATTTGAATTGTTTACATATATGTTTCTATGGGATTTAAAAGTTTAATGTAGGTGTATAATTTAAGATTTTTTGCATCTTTAACATGTGTTTATACTTAAACTATAGTATGGAGCTTCGAGATATTTGTAAACTTTTAAGTTAGACAAATTTTCACAAAACAGTTGATTATGGTAGGTACAAATACATGTGGATCTTTTTGTGCACAAGCATACATTCTGCCAAAAAAATTCCACTGCAAGATAAAAGATTGATCCTTTTAAAGCATTAATTTGCATTTCTGCCCCCGACAACAGTTTTTTTTGAAAAAATCCTAAAAACGGACAATAATCTTATTGAAAAGAGAAAGTCAGGTACATCTTTTTATGATCAGGTGTGTGTGAGTGGACCATTTTGTATTGAAAACATATAAAGCATAAATATTTGATACATCATTTGGATTCAGATTCCGTTGTTCTTATTTATTGAGGAGACATGTTGATATAATAACATTAAAAATTCACAGTACCAAGAAGTGAAGTACATGGGTCGAGTGAAATACCTTTCTAATGAGTCATAACAACAGAGTAGGTATGTTTGAATAACAAAAAAAGCTTTGTGCTCCTACAAATGTTAAAATTTGAAGTGTATTTCTTACTTGTATTCTATTTTATTTTCGTTCACACATTTTTCAAGTAAAATTTAGGCATATGAATTATTTTATTCACGAAATTTACTAATAACAAGAATGTGTCCATAGTACACAGATGCCCCAGTCGCACTATCATTTTCTATGTTCAGTTGACCGTGAAATTGGGGTCAAAACTCTAATTTGGCATTAAAATTAGAAAGACCATATCATAGGGAACATGTGTACTAAGTTTCAAGTTGATTGGACTTCAACTTCATCAAAAACTACCTTGACCAAAAACTTTAACCTGAAGCGGGACAGACGGACGGACAGATGAACAAACGAACGATGGACGCACAGACCGAAAAACATAATGCCCCTCTACTATCATAGGTGGGACATAAAAAAGAAAAAGTTGGACAAACCGTCCACTAACATCCCCTTAAATTTTTACTTAAAGCCCTTAATGCCAGAGTTACTTGTGAATCTTTTTTATGCATAACTTCAAAATGATGTCATTTTTTGTGTGTTATTAGTGAAATTGGTCTTCAACCTCTGAAAATTTTAGGTTGCACTTCAACTGTCATGTAAGGATTGTAATGATGCTATGTTGAATAAATAGCTGCACCATGAGCGCATAATACGCCCATCACTTTTTCAAAGAATAAAGTTCAATAACTTCTCAATGTCATATCAGAAATTTATGAAAAACTAAAGAGAGGTTATCTTAATAGATATAAACCAGTCACCAAAGTTTCATGAAAAAACTGCTCAAATCACTTTATTGTCTGAAAACTGGAAAATCACCCTTTTTTATGAATAAAATCCCATAACTCGGAAACGTAACATCTAAAATTTATAAAAATCGAAAGGGAGCTTACGTCAATAGATATAAACAATTCACCAAAGTTTCATGAAAACTGCTCAAAGCATTGTTGAGTTATTGTCAGAGAACTGGAAAATCCCCCTTTTTTTAATGAATAAAACCCCATAACTAGAAAAAGTAAAATCTAAAATTAATAAAAATTGAAAGGGAGCTCATGTCAATAGATATAAAAAATTCAACAAAGTTTCTTGCAAATTGGTGAAAAGTGTTTTTGAGTTATTGTCCGAAAACTGGAGAATCCCCCTTTTTGAATGAATAAAACCCCATAACTTGGAAGCGTAACATGTTGACGACGGACAACGGTATACTATAATACGTCCCGTAAACGGACGTATAAAAATTTATCGATTTTCAAGAGCTAAATTGACTGTGTCATCCCTACAATTGCATCCATTTTCACAATTGAAAAATCAGGTGGTGTAATGGGGAGATAATTTTAACAAAGTATAATCCAGACCTAAGTCTATGTGCATCTTCAACAATGGACATTCTCCAAAATTGTAGACTAGAATAGATTTCATGACAAAAATCTCTTTTTTTGTTGATCTTGTACTGCTGATAATTTTTTCTGTTTACAGTTTCTCTCTATCATCTTCAGTTTTTTCCCAAAACACAAAAGAAGGTAAAAAAAAATTATCATTTAAGGGCAATCACTCCTATAAATAGTTTATTAACTGTTTCTGCAAACTTTGACTTGTTTGTAGATCTTGTCTTGCTGATCATTTTTGTTGTTTTAAAGTTTCTATCTATCTTTTATATTTTTCAAGATAATAGGCAAAAACATCAAAAATTGCTAAAAACTGTCATTAAAGAGCAAGAAATCTAATAAAAAGTCGACTAACAATTTCTCTCTATCTATTATAGTTTTCAAGATAATAAGCAAAAATGAAAATAAATGGTAAAATTTGTCATTTAAGAGCAACAACTCTGATAAGAAATCTTCTAACAGTTTTGACTTAAATGGACAATAGGTCAATTCTGAACATTTTTGCTCATGTCAGATTTTTCTATCTATTGCAGTTTTAAAAATAATAGAAATAAGATATGGTCCAGAACTCTGGACTAAATCATCAGACCGAAACAAAATTCGAACTTGATCTATAACTTGTCATGATAAAACTATATACCGAATATCAAATCAATATCTTCAAGAACAAAGAAAAAAAGTGTGGAAAGCTGATTTGCCGGACTGACGGATGGACAGATGGACAGAGGGACAGACAGACGGAGTGCAAACCTAAAGTCCCCTTCCACTTCGTCAGTAGGGGACTAAAAACTTACATTTTGCCCCCTATGTTCTATTTTTAGCCACGTCAGCCATCTTGGTTGGAAGACGAGGTCATTGGACACATTTTTTAAACTAGATACCCCAATGATGATTGTGGCAAACTTTGGTAAAATTTGAGTTCAGAGGAGAAGATTTTTGTAAAAGTTAAAGGACTACGACTACGGACTACAACAGACGATGAACACCTAGTGATGGGAAAATCTCACACTGGACCTTTGGGCCAGGTGAGCTAAAAATTATACTATAATACAGCCAAAGAAAAATATCACACTTCCACAGGATCAATTTTTTTAAGCATACATTTGAAGTACTTATAAAATTTTCTTCTTCTTTAACAATACTGTAAGCATAATGTTTTGCCTGCCAGTGATAAGCAATCATGAAAGTTTTACTTTCTTCAATGAAAGTCAGACAAAAACGTTGATTTTTTTCCAGTTTTGACTTTTTTACTAATTTGTATCCAGTTTTATTTTTTTACTCTCAACACTACATGAAAAAACATTTTGATGGTCAGGAAACTGTTCATTTGGTTTTAGAACTTGTCTGACATTGACATTTATCCGTGTACAGTTCAAATAATCACAAAATAGTTGTTCATCTATAGAGAGATCTCTGCTAATTTCTGCAGAATCAGGCTGTCTGTCAAAAAGTCCAAAGACTGGATGTTTATCACAAGACTGTTCTTTTTCTTTGTAGCACATTCTCTTATCTATAACTTTATCACATGACTTTTTATCTTGTATTGAATTAGTTTGTTCACTGCATGACCCATTACATTTGTTGCATGTCAGTATACACTTTTCTATTCTGTTCATTTCAGCTTTCATAATTCTAGGCACAGCATGGTATACAAGTCTTGACTGTTCACTCATTATGCAGATATCACCACTGTGTAACATTATGGCTTCTGGTTTTGTTTCTTTGGTTAGACCTCCAATTAAAAATATGGCATCTTGGCCAAAACTGCAATCAAAAGTTTATTCATCAATTTCAACAAGTCTGATATAAATTATATCTTTTTTAAACTAATTACAGGAAAAATCTCTACAGGGGTTGAAATGCTAGTAGGGATAAAATGGTATAATCTTGATAAAATTGTAGCATTTGAAAAAACAGGATATAGTGTTTAATGAATGCATCAGCAATATGATTATAACCAGATCTTATGTGCTATCATTTACTGACATATATGGTCTGAAAATCTATCAGGGCTGAGTAAGGAGTCACAGAAAGGTGACCTTTAAAAAGTCTTTAGATTAAGATAAGATTCACCAGTAGCATTGTCTGTTATATCAAACATTCCAAACCCAAGGAAAAGTCAATAAAGCATGTTATAACTTACATAATCACCATGAAATGTTTAACTTCTTTGTTATGTAAACATTCTTTTATTAATGGCTATTTGAGTTAGTATTTGTCTAGTTAAATGTAAATTGTAAAATATTATGGATACAATTTTTTAAATAAAGGCAATTTTTCGTAATATTAAGTATTAAGCATACCTAATGGAAATCAATGGTGCATCATGGTCTAATTCTGAATGGTCAGTATGTCCTGCAAGTGTTGAATCCATGTGATAATAATTTACAATGGCAGCCTCTGGAGCATACAAAGGATAGCCTAATACTGATGCTATATATTTACAGAGTCTAGATAGGTCCACTGGAAATTCACTGTGTTTGTCTGTATAATATTTCTGTAATCAAAACTAGAAGAAATTTATCTTGTGATAAAAAAAACACTCCTACCATTCTAATTTTTGTTATAATAATGCATTCCTCAGAACAAAGGTAAAATGAATGAAATGTATTCAATAAACATTCAATTTGATAGTACCAAGAATATAACATACCTTTTTTATATGAGGAACTATTTCAATAACTGCAGGAGTTAATTGAGTATTTTGTACTAAATGGTTGCAATCCTTGAAATCCTATTTAACATTATTTTATACATGAATAAAAAAAAATAGAAATGGGCAATGGTAAATATGGAAAAGAAGTGGCATATTTTACAATGCATGTATTTTAATGAGACAGTGTTTTAATATTCAAGTTGTTAAATATTTAGGACTTTTAAGAAAATTTAAGTTACAGTACAAATGTTTACTCATGTTTTTTTTTTATGGATTGTGAGAATGACACACAGTGGAACAATCAGTTTATGTCTAATCTTATTATTCTAATGGGACGCTCTTTCACCTCATAAAAAAAGCTGTTTTCTATTTCCAATAAAATCTGGGGTACATGTACCCGACCATGTTGAAGTTACAACTGAATTTGCAATGTAAGTTGTATGTTGAATGACACTGAAGATCGAAAGTGACATTTTTTAGGGAGTTGCTTGTTGTGAATTTCATTAAATTGTTAAAAAAAGTAAATGTTTTTGCATTTCTATACTTTAAATCATGTAACACTGCTTAATTTAAAAACATTTTTGCTTCCTAAAATCAAAATGGCTGCCTTTCAAATACGTATAAAAGGTCTGCTTCGAACAAATTCCTTTTAGAATTGAAAGAATATTTTCATGCTCATTTTAACATAGGTAGGCATTATAAATGTGAAAATGTTAGACCTTGATCCCACTCAGTATAAAGATATTTACAAATATAATACCAAACTATGTTAGAATGAGCATAGAACATGATGAAAGAATTATTTCTTTATTCTTGTCATAATGGTCACTAACCTTGTTATCCCAGTCATAATGGTATCCTAGGGTGACCCATCTCAACTTCATCATCAAACTATCTTTGCTTGTTATATCCTTACTGCAATATGAAAATTATTATATCAATTAGGCTTACAAAAAAGAATTTGGTTTGAATAAAAGAAGTTCTACTAAACAGATTTTGTACACTATACTTTTTTATAAATATGACTTTATACAGAACAAGGCATTGCAGCAGTATAATTGATGTTCATAATAAACTTGTATGGCACCTGTAATATGTACATGTATAATACAATTACTGCAATATTAACTGTTATTTTTTTTTTATATATATTGTAATGTTAATTTTTCTACCAATGGGACAAACTGATGATATTCTTATAAGGCTATCAATACAGAGATGTCTTCTTTGCTTTGAACAATGGCATTAAACCAAATTCAGTAAAAACTTCTTCAATGCCAAATTGCATTTTCATTTTTATTACCATTCTATGATCTTATTATTAACCTTGATTCCTAAAAAAATAGTCATTCCATTTACATTTATCCCTATCTCTACTATTGTTGTACTATAAACTACTATGGATTCAGTTATTGAGGATATTTTGTATTTTTGTGGATACTTGTTTTCACGGTTTTAACAAATTCTGTATACAAACCAGTAGAAAATCTAGAGACTAGATGAACACTGAAATTTGTCATTCACCCAAACCAAATGAGTACCTCACCAATAAAAATTAATCATAGTCTGTACATTAATTGACAAACCTATGGTTAGCTTTACTGTACTGCCATACATCATGTTTATCTACTGAAGATAGCTGAGAATCAATATTGGTGATATTTGGTGCCAGTGGATAAGTTTTAATACATTCCTCCATCCAATAACGCTGACCTCCATCTTCAAATGGGTTCAAAATTATTAGGAATCCTACAAGTTACATAGAAAAGCCAGACAGTAAAATGTGTGATTAATTTTGCTGACACAAGATTTTTGCAAACTGATGATCTATAATAAACCCCTTTTAGCTCACCCGGCCGAAAGACCAGTGTGAGCTATTGCCATCACCTGGCATCCATTAACTTTTATACCAATCATCCCCTTAGAAACAATAATTGGAAGATAAAGTGTTGACACAAAGATATGTCTCACCTGATTGAAATTTTGATAGTACATGTACTATGCAAATGTTCAAATTCAAATGGCATCACTAAAACAGGTAGACTATCCAGAACTTTTAAGGTCAATAAACCATGACTGGGGAGGCAGGGCCATATAATCTCAAATGAAATGTGCTCATGCTTATACAACTGCATACTAAATATCACTTAAATCTCATTAGTGGACCCCCTTAAACTGACCTAATCACAAACTTTAACTATGTAAACTATGGAAAAGATGGGGACAAATAATCTCCATGGAAATGAGACGTGCCAATACTAAAACAACTCCATACGAAATATCATTGATTTACTCCTTTAAACTGACCTAAATTGACACATCCACTGAAAACAGCATGCATTAGTCTAGCACCTTTGTGACTTCACCAAGGTGAGACAAAAACTTTGCAACAATCATTCGAAGCATTTTTAATTTTCAAATATATGTGTGATGATCCAGCCTAACAACCAATCTAACAGGGCAACATTGTTCAGAATGTAAAGATCTACCAACTGTCCCTTTTGATCAAAATCGAAACAACTCCTTCTAGGAGCTATTGTCCTTAAATGACGATTTTTACCAGTACTTTGCATTTTTTGTGAAAGCTATAGTCATGATAGTAGATGGTTAGAAACATAAACAGAAAACTAAAGCAAAAAATATCTTCAAATAAGTCAAATGGCTGAAATTGTGGGGTCAACTCTTTACAGGAGTTATTGCCCTAAACTAATGATGTTTGGCCAAGTTTGGTGTTTTTCTTTACCCCATGATAACTGTGTATTCTTTGAATAATCAAAAATACATATATATATATATATATATATATACTAACCTGGGCAACTGTCAAGTGTGTACGCTTTCCATTGATCAACAGGTTTGAGTCCTTTTACAGCTGGATGATCTTGGACTTTAAGAGTAAATAAACTAACCTATCAATTGTTAAAAAAAAGGAAGTCAATGAGCAGTCACAATAAAGAGTATTGAGATAATTACTGTCATTAAATAAAACAACAGCTAACACCTAGAACAAGTTTGGCAAATGTCTGTGTATTTAAACAACACGAACAATCATCAAAATTATATGATCTATCTCTGTCTGTGGAATTACCTTTGATTTTGTTCTAGTTTTTACATTCTTCTTGCAATTATTTTCTTGAAAATTTTGGATTTTTATTTGTAAACATGGTTTGGCAATTCAGCAGACAGCTTATCAAAAAAATTGGCAAATAATATTGAACAGTGAATGGATCTTGTGTAACTTCACAATTTTCCTTTTGATGTTTATCTTTCTTTAACTGTTAGATATTGATAAATAAATCCTTTCTTTCATTCTCAGAATATAACAATCAATTTTGACCAAAGAATTTAAGTGACTTCTTATCACAGTTATTTTATATAGATGGTACATGTATGTCAGTGTAATTTATTATAAAAGTTAAATAGTAATTTTGAATTTTGATTTGAGATTATTGGTCTGTTTACTGAAACTGAGGTCAAGGATATATTCTAAATTTTGACCTATGCTTTTTATCTTCAGAAACAGATATTGATAAACAGATAAAAGGATTTTTCCAAACTGTAACTTGAAACTTGACAAACAAGTGCAATATAAATGTGCATGTACATGTATATGGGTAAAGTAATAAAGCAATATCTTATAATTATAGCTTTCTTCATTTAAAGATTTGAAATAAAGCTTCATATATATGTAATACAGATCTGCAGTCTTTTTATACGCCCGTTTACGGGACGTATTATGGTATACCGTTGTCCGTCCGTCTATCCGTCCGTCTGTCTGTCGTCAACATGTCGGACATTCACTCAAAAATGCCCTAACCAATTTGCATAAAACTTTGGTGGATTGTTTATATCTATTGACGTGAGCTCCATTTCGTTTTTTATAAAATTTAGATTTTACTTTTCCGAGTTATGGGGTTTTATTCATTAATAAAATGCTCCGCAGGGCGCAGCTTGATACGACCGCAGAGGTCGAACCCTGAACAGTTGGGGGAAGTATGGACACAACATTCAAGCTTGATACAGCTTTGGATTTGGATTGTGATTAAATATTTGACACAGCATAGGTTTCTAACACAGATTGAATGTGGTCTAAGAACTTAAAAATTTTAAATTGGACATTCACCTATTATGGTCCAATATCCAAAATCTAAATACATGGTTAGATTCAGCATATCAAAGAACCCCAATAATTCAATTTTTGTTAAAATCAAACTAAGTTTAATTTTGGACCCTTTGGACCTTAATGTAGACCAATTTGAAAACGGAACCAAAAATTAAGAATCTAAATACACAGTTAGATTCGGCATATCAAAGAACCCCAATAATTCAATTTTTGATGAAATCAAACAAAGTTTAATTTTGGACCCTTTTGACCTCAATGTGGACAAAGTTGATAACGGGGCCCAAAAATAAAAAATCTAAATACATGGTTAGATTCAGCATATCAAAGAACCCCATATATTCAATTTTTGTTGAAATCAAACAAAGTTTAATTTTGGACCCCGATTTGGACCAACTTGAAAACTGGGCCCATATTCAAAAATCTAAATACATGTTTAGATTCAGCATATCAAAGAACCCTAAGAATTCATTTTTTGTTAAAATCAAACTAAGTTTAATTTTGGACCCTTTGGACCTTAATGTAGACCAATTTGAAAACGGAACCAAAAATTAAGAATCTAAATACACAGTTAGATTCGGCATATCAAAGAACCCCAATAATTCAATTTTTGATGAAATCAAACAAAGTTTAATTTTGGACCCTTTGGACCTCAATGTGGACCAATTTAAAAACGGGGCCCAAAATCCAAAAACTAAATACACGGTTAGATTCAGCATATTAAAGAACCCCATGAAATCAAGAATAAAACCCCATTGAAATTGGTCAAGAAATAAGCAATTTATAGGAAGTATCTTCTTTTGCACAATCCTGTGCTATTAAATATTTCTTGCTATTGCGCAATACTGTACAATTGACAATTTCTTGCTATTGCGCAATATTGTGCTATTGGATATTTCTTGCTATTGCACAATACTGTGCAATTGAAGATTTCTTGCTATTGCGCAATACTGTGCAATTGAAGATTTCTTGCTATTGTGCAATACTGTGCAATTGAAAATTTCTTGCTATTGCACAATACTTATTATATAATAATTTACACATCCTGTTTGGTGTGTATCTCCTACCATATCATTATTATTTGATTTTAAATATAAATCAGAAATAACCAACTTAAAATGGAAAATTTTAAAAGAAACAAAAAAGGAAAAAAAGAAAAAAAATGAAAAAAAAATAAATCCCCTCCCAAAATTTTTTGAACCCCCATTATGATTCATCACCCCCAAACTCAATCCCAGCCTTCCCTTTGTGGTATGGTACCTTGCAGTACAATTTCAGAGAGATCCATACACTTGAACACAAGTTATTGTCTGGAAACTAGAAAAAAATGTGTTTTTTGGCCCCTTTTTGGCCCCAAATTCCTAAACGTTTAGGGCAATTACCCCCAAACTCAAACCCAGCTTTCCCTTTGTGATATGGAACCTTGTAGTACAATTTCAGAAAGATCCATACACTTACACACAAGTTATTGTCATGAAACTAGAAAAATGCTTGTTTTTTGCCCCTTTTTTGGCCCCTAATTCCTAAAATTTGGAGGCAATTACCCCCAAAATCAATCCCAGCATTCCTTTAGTGATATGGAACCTTGTGGTACAATGTCAGAGAGATCCATACACTAACACACAAGTAATGTCTGGAAGTTACAAAAATGCTTATTTTTGGCCCCTAATTCCTTTACTGTTATTACCATAACCCCCAAAATCAATCCCAACCTTCCTTTTGTGGTATTGAACCTTGTGGTAAAATTTCATAAAGATCCATTCACTTAAACTAAAGTTAGAGTGCGAAAACCAATGTGTCTTCGGACGACGCTGGACGACGACGACGACGATGACAACGCCAACGTCATACCAATATACAACCACAAAAATTTTTTTGCGGTCGTATAAAAAAAGGGGGATTTTCCAGTTTTCGGACAATAAGTCAAAAATGCTTTCACCAACTTGAAAGAAATTGTGGTGAATTGTTTATATCTATTGACATGAGCTCCCTTTCGATTTTTATAAATTTTAGATTTTACTTTTCTGAGTTACAGGGTTTTATTCATAAAAAAAAAGGGGGATTTTCCAGTTTTCTGACAAAAACTCAAAAATGCTTTCAGCATTTCTTATGAAACTTTGGTGAATTGTTTGTATGTATTGATGTAAGCTCCCTTGAGAATTTTATTAATTTTACATTTTACATTTCTGAGTTGTGGGGTTTTATTCATTAAAAAAAGGGGTGATTTTCTAGTTTTCGGAACAATAACTCAAAAATGCTGTCACCAATTCTCATGAAACTTTGGTGAATTGTTTATATCTATTGATGTAAGCTCCCTGTTTATTTTCATAAATTTCTAATATGACATTGAGAATTAATTGAACTTTATTTGTTTATAGTCTGACAACAGATTTACTAAGTATTGCACAACAGCAAGAAATCTTTTTAAGGAATGACAGTAATATTTTTTCTGTCTATGAAGAAATAACATCAAAAATGAGGTGCACACTGAATAACCCGCGTAGCGGGTTATTTTAAAGTGTGCACCACATTTTTTATGTTATTTCGAATAGACAGAAAAAAATATTACAGTCATTTCTTATAATTTAATTCTAAATTCCATTTTAAACCGGAGTAAACCATGAAAAAACGTTGATGACGTCACGGTCACATGACAAAATTATGTCTATGAGCTGATAAACAAAACAACGTCAGCCAATCAGAAGACGTGTTACATCCAAAATTAAATTATAATTGAATATATTATAAATTCAATTCATATAACCAATTTCAAGTTCTTTGACTACATTTATTCAGAAACCTATAATATGTCAAATATTTAATTACAATCCAAATTCAGACCTGAATCAAGCTTGAATATTGTGTCCATTTTTGCCCCAACTGTTCAGGGTTGGACCTCTGCAGGCGTATCTAGCTGCGCTCAGCGAAGCAGTTTATTATTTTTAGATATCATGGCCAAGTCACTAAAATAGAGGTCAATTTTAAATTTCAACTTTTCGTTGTCTACAAATGTAGTCCCTAGTGTGGGACAGTGTAGTGTACAACTTGCAATTTTTTTTCATACACCTTCCACATTTCTTTATATTTTTGCATAGAATAGTAAGAAGGGTTGGGTGGGTTGGGGGGTGGGGGGGGGGGGGGTGATAGTACGTATACATGTCAAAAAATTTGGGACATTAATTTTTAGGTTAAGTAGTGATTTGGTCCAGTTGACATGGTTGAGTAAGGTCATACATTAAAAAAAACCTTAACATAAAATTGTCCATATTTTGTGTTAGAGCTGATAGACTTTTCCATAATTTTGAAATAATTGTTCAAAAAGTAGTATGCTACAATGTAAAAATCTTTTTGGGATAGAGCAAGATTGATTATTAAAATTTTGCATTTGTTGCTCAGGCCATGGAAAAATTAATATTGGTTTCCCCTAAAAAGAGGCAGACAGGAAAATTTTTTTATTCAATCTTATTTTTTTGTGTGAAAAAAACGGTTTCATTCTACAGAGAATGTTGTTGTTAACCTTCACAGTAAATTCTTGTTTTACATTCTATATTGTGGTTAGTCCTATAATATAAGACTTCGTAGGTTCATAACATTTACATTCAACGTTTTTTATTTGATATTTTTTTTTACTATCAATGTTGAACCTAAAAAAACGTTGAATGTAAATGTTAATTTGTTATGAACCTACGAAGTCTTATATTATAGGACTATATTGTGGTATACACGGTATAAGCTACATGTATGTGTCTCTAAAGGAGTGATAATTGACCAATGTTGAAATACTTTTAAGAGATTATCAGACAATTTTAAAAAGCATTATTGAAAATTGTCAATTGAAACCAAAGCAACACTTTTTTTTCATCTCCGTAGGTATATTTTAAAATATGCGTTAACCTTTATAAGTTATAACGCCCATTTCAATGGCATGTTTTAACACACCTTTGATAGAGACTTATCAATGTCTATGACGTCTGAAAAATTTGGAACAGGATTACGCTGTTTATAACGTTTAAATTCGCCTTTGAAATTATCAACTAAATCTGTCATCTCCTCCAGTGATCTCCATTAAAGTGGTGATTTATGACTTTGCAGACCACAGCAAAGAAATAAGGAAAAAATGAACATGTGTCAAAGTATCTAACTTAATGTGTCTCACATAAAAACAAAACCTAGTTAGGAGAGATAATTAAAGATTTTGCGTATTTTTTGTCAAGATTTTATCCCTTTTCCCGAACTTTTCCTAAACGCCTAGCATAAAATGCACACTGTATACTGTTCCTTATTGGTCACACTAAAAAGAGTCTGGCTTATCCTTGGACTTAAAAAACAAGAGACTCTTTAAAAAAAATGCCTGTGTCGCTCACTTGGATCTAACGTATGTGCATCCTCAAAAATGGCCAAAATTATAGTCTTGAATGACAACAACGTTATTGATGATGTTACTGATCATCATCATGGTTGCTGTTTACAGCTTCCGGGAGTCAGATTTTGCAGAAAACGCAATCATCATTTAAGGGCAATTACTTCTTTAGGAGTCATCAAATCATTTGCGGAGATGATTTGCTAATATTGTAAGTTTTGTAGATCTTATATAGCTGATCATTTTTGCTGTTTACAGTTTCCAGTGCCTACCTATCTATTCAAGTAAAGTTTTCGAGATAATTGGCCAAATTATAAAAATTAGTAATAAAAAATAACTCCTATATAATGAGTCATCAAATGTTTTCAGTCATATTGGTATTTTGTAGATCTTGTTATTGTTGAACCTTTCTGTAGTTTACAGTTTCTACCTATCTATTATAGTGTTCGAGACATTTGGCAAAGTAAACACAACAAGTAGTTTAAAACTTGAAAAAAAAATCGTCATTTGTGGGCAATAACTCCTTCAGAGAGCATTCAATAGTTTCGGTTGATCATTTTTCTGTTAACAATTTCACCTATCTATCAATCTTTTCGAACTACTAGTACCTTGAATTGACAATAACACGAAATTATGTCAAAAATCGTCATTTAATAAAGCGGGGCTATATCTCCTTAAGATATCATCTTTTTTTACTTTATTAACCATATTTTAGTGCGAAGTACACATAATAATTGAAAACAAGTTGTTCCAAATTACAAAGGTTCTCTTCAGTTAATATGAATAATCATTATAATACTGTGACACGAGGATCTGGATGGAGTTTACAGAATAGAGAATAATGACAAAAACTTGAAAGTAATTAATAGAGAAAAATGAGCAAAAAATACATGATAAAGAATAGAGAACAATTGGGTGCAACAGAATAAAGAATCACTATGGAAAATAAAAGAATTAGGTAATAAAATAATGATTACAGAAATTAACGATGTATATAATAAAAAAATCATCCAATTACAGAAGAAAATTGATTGTATATTGATTGACTCGTACAGTCTTGAGAATTATATAGAACAAACGTTATTTTTAAAGATAAAGAAAAATGCCCTAAGATTTTAAAGAATACAGAAATGAAAGACCCCATTTATACCCTCATACACATGCATCAGAAATAAATATATAAAGAAATATCTTAAATGTAGAAGCAAAAGTCATTCAATGGTTTCGGTCATACCTGAGACTACTAGCTATAACTCTCAGGTCATACCAAGTTGGCTTTGTTGTAAAACTTGCATTATTGATTATTTTGCTGTTAACAATTTTTATCTATCATTTATAGTTTTCCCGAGAAAATAGGCAAAACTATGGGAATTAGCAAAATCCCTTCATTTAAAGACAATACTTATCTCCTTAAAGACTTTTTCAATGGTATCTGTTAATTGCTTTTTTGTAGATCTTGTATTGCTGATAATTTCTATCATAACAGTTTTCACCTATCTTTAATAGTTTTGAGAGAATAGTAAAAAAAAAACAGGCACTTGTCTCTGCAAAAAAATACTTTAAAGTATATATATTTTTTCATAAATAGTGTCTGTGGGCAAAAACCTGAAAAATAGCCACTTTCGTCATCGACAATATAACTACTTTAATTTTGGTAGTATAACAAGTAGGTAGAAATTTTTATTTTGTTAAGTTTGCCCTGTTAGATTGTTTTTCAAGCTATACCTATGTTCTATTTTTAGCCATGGCGGTCGTGTTTGTAAACTGACCGGAATAAAAAAAAAGTACAAACGTTATACTAGATACCCTAAGGGAGCTACCCAGTGGCGGATCCAGGGGGGGGGGGGGGGGTGTTCCGGGGGTTGGAACCCCCCTTTTTTTTGACGATCAATGCATTTGAATGGGGACATATAGTTGGACCCCCCCCCCCTTTATCCTGGGTTAGGAACCCCCCTTTTATAAAGGGCCAGATCCGCCCCTGCTACCGTTTGATTTTTTATTGGGGGGGGGGGGGCTAGGATGAACAATTTTGTCCTGCATTTTTTTAGTTGTAATTTCTGTCGTGCATTTTTTATTCACTCTATTCGGTCCTGCATTTTTTTTATTAGTTTATTCTGACTTTTTTACATAAATTGTCACCCTGCCTTTTTTTTTGCAAAGTTGCTCATCCTGCCTTTTGTTTTACTCAATACTCCTGTCCTGCCATTTTTCATCAAATATAGTCTGTATACAGTTAAAATGAAGTCTGTATGTATAGTTAAAATGTAATGTGTTCTGACTAATTAAGGCGTTCAAATCTCGTAAATCGATTACACAAAGACAAATCAAGATAACAAACAACAACTGAGCGAATTGCATGCAACTAAGGATCGAGATCGGGTGCGTCGCCAGGGTAAGCGTCTCCTGCAATACATGCCCCAGGCATGATGCATCACCCGCCATACGAATTCACTTAGTCAAAATATCGCAATCGGGAATTGGGCACAATCGGCTAAATACCAGACGACTATACTAATATCTAAAGATATACGACCGCGAAAACAAGTTGCTAGTGGGTTGAGAGACCGATCGACAAATTGTATCGGTTAACCATTTCGTGAAGGAGACCGTAATAATAATAATAATAATAATAAATTCTTTATTTAAAGAGGGTAACTCAATTGGAAGTAGTCTAATTTTCATTGAGGCCCTCAAACAAAATACATGTATACAGTTAACATTCATATATTCATACATTAAAATACAATATATATTACTAGTATATACACAATTCAATCATTCAAACATACAAATGGCAATAATTAGTAAAGTTTTGATTAAATTTTCTTATTCTTACAATAAAAGAAAGAAAACAAATTATTCGACTTGCATAGAATTTTCAAGAAAATGATTATAACAATGTTTCTTAAATAATTCCACATTTCGACAATTTTTTATTTTGAGTGGTAAATTATTCCATACCTTTGTTGCAGAATAAGGAAAAGATTTTTTATAAAAATTTGTATTTGGTCTTGGAACAAATAGATCATTATTAGAGACAGATCGTAAGTTGTGGTGTTGCACATCATTAATATTATTAAGTAATCAGGTGCTAGTCCATTTACAATTTTATACATTAGAATTGATTGTTGGTATTTTATTCTTTTTGTAAAAGATAGCCATTTTAAAGATGAAAACATAAAATTAGATGGAACAGAAATATCGCATTCAAGTATAATTCTTGCTACTCTTTTTTGAAGTTTTATGATTCTATCTGAACCTTTTTGTAATAAATTTCCCCGAACTGAACTACAATAGTCTATATATGGTAGAATCAGATTGTATTATATGTCTCTGGTAGAATATATGCATTTTAAAATAGTTGTCTTGTGTGTATAGGCAAATATACTTTAATTTTAAACAAAAGTGATATTTTAGATGAGATAATCTTGCATATACGATCAACATGATCCTCCCAGCTTAAATTTCGACAATTATGTAGTGTCGATTTCAGACGTTTTTCCTCATAACTCTTTTGGAGCAGTTTTTGTGTATAGAGCACACTACTCTAAACGAAGTCCGTATAGTGTGAACATGCACAAGCGTAACGTACTAACTGAGACATGTAAACGCCATACGATGGAGCAGAGGGTTTTTACTGCTGAGAAAGGGGAAGTTGACAATTGGAAAGACGACATCATTACGTTTGTCATAGACTTTAGTTTGGAGTCGTCCATCTGTATCAATATCGAGGAAAAGATCAATATATGAAGCAGACATTCTACTTTCGGTAGTATCATTAATCTCAAGTTCACTGGGATATATGAGGTGTGGGCACTCATTGAAATGTGAGATTTTGAATGTGAAAAAGTATATCTGAATGTGAAATTAAAAAACTTATCAAGATGTTTCTTCTTTTTGACTTTGAGAAGGTTCTGTATGAATTCTGATTCATATGAGTACAAATACAAGTCGGACAGTAGTGGTGCACAACTAGTTTTCATTGGAATACCGACTGTCTGCTCTGTCTGCTGAAATATCAATACACCTAACTCAACAAATATTTTGCTTATCAAAAAGTCCAGCATTTTTTATAATATCATCTTCAATGCATTTGTTGTGGGAATCAGTGTGGTTTTCGAAAAGTAAATTTTTCACGACGTAAAACTGGGAATTTGTATCTACTTTTTCCCATATTTATAGAAAAAGCTGTTTAATGAAGTCGATCTTTCAATTGAGCATTAGGAATAGCAGTGGAAAGAGTAGAAACATCAAGGTTTTGATATTACTGCAAAATTGTAAAGATTGTGATTGGATATTTTGGAGTAGATCTTTAGAATTTTTAAGAATCCACATCTGATTGACAACGCTGGTTCTAAATACCTCATTGCAATATTTCTTAAGATCATCATTCTATATATGAGGGGCCTGATGGGGGGGGGGGGGTCTCATCACGATTCACGAGTTGATTTTTTTGTCAGTCACGATTCACAGAAAATAAATTTCCATGATCACGGATCACGAAAATATAAAAAAAAATAAATCTGTAGAAAAACGGATCACGATAGCGAAAATGCGCCGATCACGAAGAACGAAAATAAACCATCAGGCCCCTCATATATATCTACAGTAACACACGTGGCTTGTAGAGGGTATATCATTCATGCATCATACATCATAACATGTTTAACTCCGCCACATTCTTTATGTGCCTGTCCCAAGTCAGGAGCCTCA